TTGTCAGGGTGCAAATAAGTTTTAAAAAGTTTATTTTGGGGAGCCGAGACACTTTTGTTTTTGACAGAGAGTGTCTCTAATAAGAATTGCAGGTGACAATCGGAGAATGAGATTGAGACATGATACTATAGAAGTTTGTTTCTGTCATGGGATATTAAACAATGAATAAAATGTGTTGGGGATGTCCTAGGGTACGTGTTTCCAAAACCATTGTCAAGTAATGCCTAGTTCAGACTGCGTGATTTTAGCCCCGATTTTGGCTCGCCGACAGGTTTTGAGAAATCGCCGACAAATGCTTGAAATCACAGGCAAATCGCTGCTTGTGCACGTGAGTGACAATCACACAGTATAAACTATCAAAGACGCGATCGGAAAGAATCGCCGGTGAGTTGCCGATGCCTGCGAGATATTTGGTATGCTAAATATCTGGAGCTGTCGGCGATTAAAATCATGCCGTGTGAAATGAGTTTTGACTGAAAATAACATCAGCCATCGCCTACAGCCCAATGAGAGAGCAGCTTTCACTTGTGTGTGTGTGTGTTATATGTGTGTGTGTGTGCAGATGACGAGGCGTTCCTCCGTAAGCAGAAGCACCTGAAGGCCCAGGCGTTTGCTCTGAAGATGCGTCCGCGTAAAGAAGTGCTGGAGGTCAACTACGTGAGTCTGAGCTGCGTGATGAGTGTGTGTGTAGCTGATCTGATCACACACACACACACACACACACACTCACACACACAGCAGTATAGATGAGCACTATTGATTATCCTGATGGTCCAGCGGCTGCACTTCTCTTCTGAGAGTCTGTGTGTGTGTATAATGTGTGTGTGTTGTGCAGATCGACCTGTACATGTGTATGGCGTGTGGGCGGGGCGATGAGGAGGACCGCCTCCTGCTGTGTGACGGCTGTGATGACAGCTGCCACACCTTCTGCCTGATCCCGCCGCTGCAGGACGTCCCCCGCGGAGACTGGCGCTGCCCCAAGTGTGTGGCTGAGGTGCGCACATGCACACACACACTTTATACACACACACAGCCACACATACTCACGCTGACACCGTGTCCTCCAGGAGTGCAGTAAGCCCCGTGAGGCGTTCGGGTTCGAGCAGGCGGTGCGCGAGTACACACTCCAGAGCTTCGGGGAGATGGCGGACCACTTCAAGTCTGACTACTTCAACATGCCTGTCCATGTAAGACACACACACACACACACACACACACACACTCACTGATGATCTGACTCCTCTCTGAACATGCTCTAAGTGTGTGTTCTGTGTGTGTGTGTTGAGATGGTGCCGACGGAGCTGGTGGAGAAGGAGTTCTGGCGTCTGGTCAGCAGTATTGACGAGGATGTGATCGTGGAGTACGGCGCTGACATCAGCTCTAAAGATGTGGGCAGCGGGTTCCCTGTGCGGGACGGCAGGAGGAAGCTGATCGGGGATGAGGAGGTGAGCGACACACACACACACACACACACACACACACACACACACACCTATAGCTGCAGCACTGTACAGTGTGTGTGTGTGTGTTTCTGTACGACATCTCTTCTGTGTGTGTGTGTGTGCAGGAGTACGCAGCGTCGGGCTGGAACCTGAACAACCTGCCAGTGCTGGAGCAGTGTGTGCTGACACACACCAGCGGGGACATCAGCGGGATGAAGGTGCCCTGGCTGTATGTGGGCATGTGCTTCTCCTCCTTCTGCTGGCACATCGAGGACCACTGGAGCTCCTCCATCAACTACCTGCACTGGTGAGACCAGCGCCTGTGTGTGTGTGTGTGTGTGTGTGTGTGTGTGTGTGTGTGTGTGTGTGTGTGTGTGTGTGTGTGCGCGCGAGTTGTTCAGTGTGCTGCTGGTCTGCGGTGTGGTGCGGGTCTCCAGCTTTCTGACAGTTGTTTATGTGGTTGACTGTGATCAGGGGTGAACCCAAGACCTGGTACGGCGTCCCGGCCCGCGCCGCTGAGCAGCTGGAGTGTGTGATGAAGAAGGTGGCCCCGGAGCTGTTTGACTCCCAGCCAGACCTCCTGCACCAGCTGGTCACACTCATGAACCCCAACGTGCTGATGGAGCATGGCGTCCCGGTACACTATCATCCATCCTCCTCCATCAGAGATCAGACAGACTCAGAGATCAGACAGACTCAGAAATCAGACAGACTCAGATATCAGACAGAGATCAGACAGACTCAGAGATCAGAAAGAATCAGAGATCAGACAGACTCAGAGATCAGACAGATTCAGAGATCAGACAGACTCAGAGATCAGACAG